CAATACAAATAACTGTTATAAGTGGCAGGGATTGAGTCGGACAAATGCTCTAGCCCAGCAGCGCCACTACATGTGGTCGGCACGCAAACAAGCCCAGCGTGACCACATCGCACAGCATTTTTAGTGCCAAAAATCCTAAATCATTAATATTTAAAGCTAAGTTCATTTTTTACAAGTATTAAATCAACTGGCACTGAGCAGTTAGAAAAGCTCAACAATGTGCTTGCAGGGTTTTCATCTGTAGTCTGTTGGCTTTGCTGCGGGGTGCAGGGTGGAAAAGCCCAGGATGACAAGTTAGGAGAGCACCTAGCAGGAGCTGGGCTTTAGCAGAGTACTCATCTTCAAAAAGCAGACTTATGTGAGAAGGAATCTGCAGGAGGCTGGGGTGGGAGTGACGAGCTGGGCCTTCCCAGAGGGATCTCATTTTCCCATTTCTCCCTCTCCCTGACATTGGTACCCCTCTTGAGCTATAGGGAAAAGCAGAGCAGGAATCTAATTAACAGCTCTAAGGGAGCAATCAATTTACAATTGTGTGAAGTGCAAATTCCTTTGTGCAAGAAACAAATTACAGAATTTGCAAATTTGTAAATACTGCAGGCTTTTTCTCCAATCCAAATGCTCTGGAGAGAAAGAGAGGGAGACTGGGGGGGCGTGGGCCAAGAGAACATGAATGTGAAAAGGCACAAATATTAGAAAAGGCCTATAGTTCCCAGCAGCAGGATTCTAAATATATTTAACAACTGATTTTCTCTGCTGGAGCCTTACCTAGGAACTAGAGAAGGGCTAACAGTTGGGTCAATAGAATGAGGGTCTCTATAGAAACCCAAAGCCACTGCATATCATTAACCAGGTGCCATCCTTCAAGAAAGCCGACCATAAAAACAATTCCCTCAGCACTCCCCACACACCTGATTTGTAGCAAGAACACTCTTGTTTCTTTTGGTCTTCTTGAGACAGGGTCTCCCCATGGCCCCTGCTGGCCTGGACCTCACTGTGTAGACCAGGCTGGCCTTGAACTCACAAACATACACCTGCCTCTGCTTCTGTCTCTGATTAAAGGCGTGCACCACCATGCCCAGCCAAGAACATTCATTTTATAAAAGAAGTGTCAAGCAGTAATCATGTTCAATGCCAAACAAGGAATTCATGACAGATAGACATGATCCCAATATTTCTGCTCTACAGAAGTTTTTATGGACCATTGCATTCACAAATATTTACTGGAACCCTTTTATAAGATCTTTTCTATTATTAGAGATTTGGAAGACCTGCCCAACAATAATATTTGGAAATAAGAAGGCAAGCTCATGCAAGCTCATTCTAGGGTTTTCTGAGCACTTAGCTGTGCGAATGGGAGGTGTCAAGGGTGCCCTGGAAATGTAACGCCATCTCTGCCCTCCAGGGCTTCAAAGTCTGTTGAGAAAGCAGTTTACACCATCATTCCAGCCTTGAGCCTGCTAATAAGGAAGAGGCCTAGAGCACAGATGCTTAGACAAGCATTTGAGTTCAGGAAATCTTTCAGGAGAAGAAAATCAATGACTAGACAGAAGAGGAAGGGAGGGCACTCAAGGTAGAAGTAGGTGGACTATTACGACCCTGTCACAAGAGGACAGATCAGATTTGTACATTCAAATGATCGCTCTCACCTGTGGCTTTTTCAGACCTTCCCATAAAATGTTTTCTGTGTCCAAGAGCCTTGAAATATATTCATACTTAGCAATTTCCACCAAGTAATCAGAGATGCTGTTGGAAAATTTCCTAAGAGGAAGTGTGCGCAGCAGCATGGCTGTGCCCCAAACAATCTGACTGTTCAACCACGGTGGTGGTTAGATAATTATGCTACATCCAAGCCCTGTGGTTTTAATGCCCATCTTGTAAAAGCAACACATTTTGGAAGAATATTTTAAAATAGCAAAATGATTATGACATATGTAAAATGCTTAATAAAATATTGTCCTGGTTTTAACATAAAAGCAAAAAGTGGTGCCAATGAGATGGCCCAGGGAGTAAAGGCACTTGCTGCCAACCCTGACAACCCAAGTTCAAGCCCTGGAACCCACATGGTGGGAGAACCAACCGCTGTAACTTTTCCTCTAACCTCCACACCTCTACTCTCAAGTGCTTGCTCAAGCATGCACGCACGCACACACGCACACACACACACACACACACACACACACACACACACACACACACGCACAATAGATGTAGAAAGTAAAAAAGTCATTCTCCAACAGTAGTCTACCTTTCTAAGCTGCTTCCCTGTTTTGAACAGACAGCTAACAAAAGGGTGAAGGTTCTTCCTGTTTTGTGTAAAATCAAAACAACTGGCTTTCATTTCTTTCCCTCTAAATCATCGGTGGCCTTGGATTGGCAAATCACTCATCTCATTCTCTTTGGTACCCAAGCTGGCCAGCATTATGATGGAAGGCCAAGAAGGCGAGGAAGACCAAAGGAGGGAGGGGCTTCTAGAAGCTGGGTTCTCCCAGGAGAAGGACTGTCATGGGAGGCAGAGTGCCAGGACTGGAAAGGCCTTGACTGCTGGGTACTGAGAGTGACTTACAGGCATTGGGTGCTTCAGTAGAACGTGCATACGTCATGCTTCTACATGAGAAATACCACAATGAAGTAAACAATTGATAGCCCAACAAATGGTTCTAAAGACAAGATGCTATCAAAGATGGGTAGAGTATGGTAGCCCAAGTTTCCCTTTATTAAGCTTATCAGAGGGCATTAATGTGCCAGAGTGGACTCTGTGGGCTAGCGTTTCTTGGGATTTCTTTATTAAAGAATGTAAAAGGCCTCTTTGCAAAAGGACTTTTGCTGTTGGGGAGATAAAGAATGGTGAGCTAAAAACAATGCTAGAAAACAATGAAGTGAAAATCTAATCACTTTATCAAATTTCACTTCACCCTTCAATTTCTCCTTTGCTTTAAAACGTGCTCACAGAAGATCTGCTTTAAAAGACAGAACCAGCCAGGAATACAGCCCAAGAAATTTACCAAAACGGGGACGCCTGTGTTTCAGTTCTTAGAAAAGCCTTGCCTTAGGGACTCTGTCCAGATTTCTTGGTTCTCTGCAGTGAAGGGCGGGGGTCATTTCTTCCTCCGTTGAATTTTCTTGCTTTTGCAGTTCCTTTTAACTGCATGTTAAGCATCTTTTCCACACCACTGCTATTCTAAGCTACACATGTATGTCTACGCAGCAGCGTCCAGCGACCTTTCATTATCACTAGTTAATAGACCTACACACTTCTCTAACCATATAACCTAAACCTAAACCTTTGTTCGGGGGTGGGGGCTTCCAGTCTACTTAGAGCTGACGCGGGCGGATTTCTTCTTCCTTTTTTCCTTACGTAGACTTGGTTCAAGGTGTGGGTCTCCAAATGGGATGCCCGGAGCCGGGAGGTGGGGATGGAGGACACAGGCCATTGGAGAGCTCAGTCTGATTTAGCAGCTTTGATATGCTAAACAACAGCTCCAAGTGTACCTTCCGTATTTCGCATCAAAACGCCACACCAGGCCCCTAAGGAGGCCAGGAGAGTTTTAAATAAATGAAAATGCAAACCAGTGGGTCGCTCCTCTTAAGTAATCTTCAGATTCACTCTGCGAATGCAGGCCTGTAAAACCCTGGCGCACTGGAGACCCTTGGAAAGGGAGAAGCCGCGAATACCGAGCAGGTTCTCAAGTGAAAGCAGGTGATGTCATAGCGAACAGGGCTGCGCTGTCACCGCCAGGGCCAGCTGGGGAGCTGCAGTTCCAGGGACCACGGCGCCCTGCGCCAGGGGCAGATGCGCTGCATCACCGGCCTGCGGAGCCCGGGAGCGCCGGGCACCAATCAGGTGCTCGCTCCGCGCCGCCTTTGTTCTCGCCGGAGAGCAGGCTGCGGGCGTCAGGTCGGCGGTCCACCTTCCGTCGCAGGTCCCCGGGTACCCTGCCCCCCACTGCCTGCGCCCAGCATCCGGCCAGTTCCAGGTTTCCGCCCCTGCCTCCTGTCCCCAGAGGGTGGACGCTAAACCTGGACTCGCAGTTGCAAGCTTGGGGAGAGCAGGTCTAGCCCGGCCGTGGGAACGGCAGTTCCGAACCTCCCCTCTGCAGGGATCTGCTCCGCACGCCTCCCCGCGGCGTGGACCGCACTCGGGGCAGAGAGGACCAGCCCGCGGCCCTTCCGTGTCAGAGAAGGGAACTTCCACTGCTCGGAGTACCGAGTGCGCTTCCAATGGCGGAGGAAACGCACAGGCCAGACGTGTCTCCCGTCCCCAGGTCCCTCAGGCGGGCAAGCCGGTCATTCGGCACAAGGCTCACACCTAAGGATGCCTCAAGTTCTCTGAGCTCTCTGGGTGCAGAGTGCTCAAGCACGGTCTTCCTAACAGCTACGGTCAGAGTGGGCCGAGAGAAAGCTGACCCCCTTCCCGGAAGGAAGGAAGGCTCTAGCGTCCACCCTGCCCAGCCCCGGAAAGCTGAGGAACGTCTAGGTCGGTCTCAGACCCGCGGGCGAGCTCCGGCTTCCAGCTATTTACCTCACGCTCTCCATTTCTGCAGGGCCCTCGGAGAGCGGGGCGTGGCTTCTCCTGGGGTGGAGCTAGCGAGTTCTCATTTGCATACGCCACACCCCCGCTCCTCATTGGCGGGCTGTGGCCCCACCCACCGCGCTACCTGATCACCCGCCCTCACCCTTCGGCGCAGAGCCTCCGAGATACGCGTAACCTGCCCGGAGACTCGCGGCCTCCTTGCCGGCCGCCATTGGCTGGCGCGCTCCAGGCCGGCCCCTCGCGGTTCATTGGCTGCGGGCTGGTGCGGGGGCGTGGCCTGGCCGTCTGATTGGCGAGAGGGGGCGGTGCCCCGCGCGGCAGTCCTGAAGGCGGTG